ATATCCATATGTATGTATATACATGTATTTATATATGTATACGTGAGATAGGCAAATAAAGAAATAGAGGCTGAAAACATTTCTGTTATATGGATTCGTATACGATGTTGATTTTAAAATTTATGAACATGTATTAATATATATATATATATATATATATATATATATATATATATATATATATACACTGTGTGTAACATACATATATATATATATATGTTTATATATACACACACTATGTGAATTATCGTCAAAGAGGGACATATCGCAAAGATTTTTCTCTTAGTTATTCATTTTTTTCTTTGCCGAGCCAAAAATATCGCGAATGAGTGACGTGATTTTTGTACGTAAATTTAAAGGAGATTTCACGTTTCTATTTTCCTTCTTTTTTTTCTTTTTTCCTTTTTTTTATTTTTTTATTTTTTAATTTGACAAATATTACACGGATAATATGACATAACTGAAGAGTCTAGTAATTTTAGAAATGATCGGAAAAATAATAATTAACGGCTGTGCTAACATAATTAAGGTAAGGTCGTTTGAATTGTCGACGTTTAAATTAGACGAATGTCAATGTCATTATTATCGCGTGACCTTTGGCTCGAGTTTCCGCGATAACATGATATACATACCGTGGCTTTCCAAAAGGTAGGATCACTTGGGCAGGTTTGTACACCCCTTTATATAGATATCTTTTCAAAGCTTAAGTATACACGTTTTGTTCTACTAAAACGGGATATGCGATCGTAATGTAATTTATAATATTAATTTACTTCTCTACGTTTTTATTTGTCTTTCTAAATAATTTCATGATGGCGATGATTTTGTTAAGTGTAAAAAAAGGACCGACGAAAGGAAGAAAAAAAATATATATATGTAGATACATATAGATATAAAAAAGAAAAACAGATAGAAAAAAAAGATCGCAATTTAGCCAAACGAAATTTGCATCTCAAATCGATTTAAAGCGAATGAAGGGGGAAGAGAAAACTCGTCATTTTTGTAAAGAAGAAAAAAAAAAGAAGAAAGAAATAGAAAAAGCGACGGCTCTCTTTTCTAAGCCCGAAAATAAATTCTTTTTTTATTTCCTCGTTTACCCAACAGAAAAAACATCACCGTAACTCGCGCGCGTTGCGTCGAATTGTAATTCTTTTTATTTCCCTTGTTTTATTTTCTTGTGCAAGGGGGTGGCAAAGGAAAAAGAAAAACAAAAAAAAAACAAAGAAAAAAATTTGACGTGTCTTTTAGTGTACCTGTTAAAATCGTAATTAATCGTAGTCGTTCGTGGGGTTCCTCTCTATTCTTTTTTCTCTCCCATATATATTTTTTTTTCCCTGAAGGAATATAAACGAAAATGACGATGGCGATGGCAATCGATGTTGTGTCGATGTTGATGGTTATACTGGTGATGATGAGTGATGGTAATAGTTGTGATTGTGGTGGTGGTGGTAGTGGTGATGGTGGTGGTGGTTACTGTAGTAGTAGTAGTAGTATTAGTAATAGTAATAGTAGCAAGAGTAGTAGTAGTAGTAGTAGTAATAGTAATAGTAATAGTAATAGTAATAGTAGTAGTAGTAGTAGTAGTAGTAGTAGTAGTTGTTTAACAGGGTAAGTGACGAAGGGGCGGATGCGGGCGAGATATTCCCCTGCGAGGATTGCTAACGTCTTTTTACCACCTACACATCCAAAGCAGCTCATTCCACGCATTCCAATCACAGCGCATATGTTTTTGTTCTTAATCAACTCTGCCTTTATCATATATGAGAAATACTTTATATATGTATATATATATAATATAGTATGGTATATATATAGATACTTTTTATATTCTTTTTTAATTTCTTTTATTTTTAATGTTTTTTTGGGTTCAAATGTACGTATTTCGGTTTTATCTACGATACAAATCGTCCAATCCCCCCCTTTTTTCGCGTCCTCGTCGTCGTCTCGTCCCGTCATAAATTTTTTTTTGTTTTTTCATCAACAATTTTCTTTTTTCTTTTTTTCTTTTTTTTTTTATATATATATATATTTGGATTATACGCAAGATGCAAAAAAAGAGATAGACAAAGAGAAAAATCCTGTGGGTTTTGCGCACTGGACTCATGATTTATTTATTTTTTTTTTGGTTTTTGTTAGAACAGTGGGGAGCAGGAAAATAGACAATTGGTGATTCTCATCGATATTTGGTCTCCTTTTAAGGAATTCGGTACATGCCTTTGTACGTGGAATGAGTGGATATTGTTTTTGACATACTTCGATATTTTTCTAGAATTACAATCTTTTTGTTTTTGTTTTGTTTTTCTTTTCGTTTTAGAATGTTCGCGACATTTTACAATTATTTTCTTTCTAATTATTATCATATCGTACTATATAATGAATGCGATTTTGTTTGAAATGAACTTCGATGAAAGAACGTCTAAGGACATTTCTTTTTTCTGAATTTTCAAAAAAAAAAAAAAAGGAAAAGAGAAAAAGAAAACGACTCAATCGGTTAGATGAGAAAATTATTATCGTAAATGATTTAATATGATAACGAAAGAAACACGTTAATTTCTTTTCGAAATGATAGCAATGGTAATTGGAAACTACGGTATTTATATCAAACGATAACACACATCCACTTATGAAAATTTTTTTTTTCGGTAAATAAAAAATATTGCGTTGGAATGAAGTATGTCAATTACAAAAGAATTTTGAAAAGGATTTGAAATTGTAATGGATCATTAGATAGGTTTGATACGATAGAGGAAAAATGGAAGAAGAAAAAGAAGAAAAAGGAAAAGAAAAAGAAGAAGTAAGAAGAAGAGAGAAGAAAAATAAAAACTAGAAGAAGACAAAAGAAAAGAAAAGAAAAAGAAATAGAAGTAGAAGTAGAAGTAGAAGAAGTAGAAATAGAATTAGAAGAATCGAAGGAGGACTTGGATAATGTGACACAATGCTCGTGCTACTACGATTTTAGCGCAATATGAAAAGTGAACAATATGAAGACAGGCCTGGTGCTTTTCGGTGCAAAATCGAACGTACAAAAGTCAAGTGAAATCGATGGTTTGAATTATTGCCGCGTTCGTTAAATACACACACACACTCGTCACGGCATATATATATATATATATATATATATATATATATATATATATATAATACCTTAGAAGAACGTTAAATGCGACGCGAGAAAGAGAAAGCGTATAACCCCGGTCGAGATGTATATCACGTTGTTTGTACGTGCAGAAGAATTGAAAAAATAAAAAAAGAAAGAAAATAAAGGGAAAAAGGAAGAAAGAAAGAAAGGGAGAGAGAAGGAATGAGAAAAAGAAAGATGAAGATAGATCGAAAGATACACAAAATGAATAGGCAAAAAAGAAATGTGAAAGAAAGAGATGGATATAAGATAAAAATATTAAAAATAAAAAAAATAAAAAGTGGAAAAAAAGAAAGAGAGAGAAAGATAAAAATAGAGAGAAAAAGAGAGGGAGAGAGAGAGAGAGAAAAAGAGAGAAAGAGAGAGAGAGGAAGAAAAAGAAAGTAAAAGAAAATCAAATAAATATCGTATGTTAAAAAATACACAGGATATATATATGTATGTAACATAAGTAGATAAACAAATCGTAATGTTGAAGAAGAACACGGTGCTATTTTGTCAGGCTCATGCTCGAAGATTATCCGAGAATTTTTTCTTCGAGTTCTTAAGCTCCTCGTTTTATTATTCAATTGGTTGTTTATATTTCTTTGATTATAGTTTGTTCGTAGAGATGTCACGCAAGCAACGTAGACGCATCTCACATCTAAATCCTAGGATCTAATAGGCAACACACATAGAGAGTATGCGAAAAGGATTGAATAAAATATGGTGGGTGCGACGTCGCTCCATCTTCGTTGATGTCAATCATCGAATTTTCCTTAAAAGCCGTCTATGATTCGGCTTATTAACAATAATAATAATAATAATAATAATAATAATAATAATAATAATAATAATAATAATAATAATAATAATAATAATAATGATAATAATAATAATAATAAGAGAAATAACAACAATAATAATAATAATAATAATAATAATAATAATAATAATAATAATAATAATAATAATAATAATAATAATAATAATAATAGTAATAATAATAATCATCATCATCATCATTCGCCGCAATTGTTCTGTAATTTGTCTCTTTTGTCTCGTTTCTTTGTTTTTATCTTTGTTTTCATTTTCTTTATTTTCTTTTGTAACTGCTTTTTTTTTTATATCAGAACGATACAGTGCAAAGGGATGAATCAAGATATAGACTTCTTCTTTTTCCTTTTTTTTTCAATCAGTACGCTAACTATATATGATACACGATAATTACTTCAATATTTATCTAAGAAAAACATTAGTGACACATGCCGATACTACTTAATGATTTCGAAACGCACTACAGATGTTAACCACTCATCAAGCTATTAAATATAGATAAGTACGTACATATGTCCTAAATCACGATGGGAACGTTTATTTGATCTAATTGATCGATGATCGTTCAACACATTTATTACCACCAATTTCTAGAATAAATTTCAATTTTGTTTCTTTTCTCTCTTTTTTTTTTCCTTTAATTAACAACAATTAATAAACATTTAAACACATTATCTATTCGAAATTGGTAGGAAATGTATGTGTTGGAAACTAATCAATTAACACATGCATCTTTTAAAAGTTCATCACTAATTCTAGAAATCTATGGGATAGAAAA